ACCAATCATCAACCTCTGTTTAACCTAATGCCCCATCCTGTTCATGAGTAGCTCCCTGTGTGATACACTTTATCCATAATATACTCGCTGAATAAACGTGCTCCGTGCTACACGTCTGTTTCCTTTGCGTGCTCCGTGCTACACGTCTGTTTCCTTTGCGTACTCCGTGCTACACGTCTGTTTCCTTTATAGCTGGGCGCCCCGTGCTACACGTCTGTTTCCTTTATAGCTGGGCTATAAGTTCTGGGAGTCTAGCTAGATGAGTTTCCCTTATAGCTAGGCTATAGCTTAGCTTGTTCTGGGAGTCTAGCTAGATGTTTGAGAATCTGCCATAGTATTTCTGAGTCAGTCAGGCTTTACTAGCGTAGCAATCCGTGGAGCTATAGCTTAGCTGTTCTGGGAGTCTAGCTAGGTGTTGGAGAATCTGCCATAGAGATTTCGGTCAGGCTTTACTAGCGTAGCAATCCGCTACAATGCAATCCGGTCAGGCTTTACTAAGGTAGCAATCCGTTACAATTCTCAACTAGTTAGGCTTTAATAAAGTAGCAATCAGCTACAAGCTCATAGCATTTTTATGGTACACTTGTCAAATATAACGTTATTAGTTAATCTAAGCAATCCAATCCAATTAAATATTTATTTATATCAACTAGAAAGCTTTATGATAGTCATAATTAGTCCATTAATTGGCTTCGGGCATCACAGAGGAGAGAAACATCAAAGTCACAAGAGTCGAAAGTGGAACAGAAGAGCGATTCACAGATGTGAAAGAGACAGACAGGCAGATACGAAGGCAAAGAAAAGGTAAGGTGAGTATTGCGAAAGTGGTAGAATATGGCATACAGTTGGGCCATTGTAGTTTGAAGTCAGAAGTCAACTGCCAGTTTAAAGACCTTTTTTGGCGTGTGAGTATACGCTGCCCAGGTTGCACCACGTGGAGGTAAGTCAATGATAGAAATCATTAGTTACTAATGCAACTTTTGCTCATTTTCCTAAAATGAACTTCGATCGCTACGTGGATAGTAAATAGAGCACTTCATCGATTGCATATTGGTTTTACTTGTAGTAAATATTTCAAAAATAATTACTAGAAATTTTTAATTAATAAATCTGAAAATCAACTAAAAATTCATTTTAAATTGTAGGGGAAAGTAGTTTTTTCGGTCTTGCCCTCCGCCACTTTCAAGTGAAGGAAATTCGGCTGACACCACGCAGAAAAGCCCTAACTGAGCACTAAAACTCCTCTCTGGGAAAAGACCTCAGCAAAAATTTTACTGAAATTAGAAGGGAGAACACAAAACAAATGGAACGAAGAGCGTTTATTACAACTTCTGGCCAACTGCCAAAATGTTGGCCATTAAAATACAAGTGGAGCTACACTTGTTAGCTGACAGACCTCTACTCTCACGCTCAATAGCGTGTCTCACCTCTAAGCTGTATCGTGCCCGGGAGTGTGCAATAGACTTACCTCCACGTGGTGCACTCTGGGCAACGTATACTCACCATGCGGCAAAACAAGTCTATAAACTGGCAGTTGACTTCTCACTTCAAACTACCATCACCCCACTGTATGTCATATTCGACCACTTTCACAGTACTCACCTCACTTTTTTCTACCTTCGTCTTTGAAAGCCTCTTCTCTTCCCTCCCCCCTCTCGACTTTTTTTACTTTGATGTTCCTTCCCCTCTGTGAAGCCTGAAGTCAACTAAAGGGCTAATGATAATCATCAAAACGCCTGTCATTTGGTATAAAATAATCTTTGATCAGCCTTTGTAGACATGGTAAAAGCATAAAAATCTATGTCCCGGTACCAATTTATTAAACGGCTATAAGGCTATCAATGAAAGCTAAACATGAATCTTAAATTTATGACAAATAATTTAAAAACTGGGTGTTTTATAATTAATTAAAATTCGCGCCATTCAACGACTAAAAATTTAATTTCTGACATTCGTGATTTTGTTTTGTTTTTTAGTTATTATGCCTTCTATTTAGCAGCAATGAAAGTGACTATTCAAACAGTACTTTACCTGTATCTTCTCAGTGCAAAAAATTGAAAAGTATCCATTGTAACAGAGAATGGAAATCTTTAATGGAAGTTAAATTTTAAGAATTAGAGATGATCCCGCCGACCTTAGTTGACAGTGTTCGACAAATCTAATGACCCTGATTCGGGCCCCTCTGAAATCACGAATGTGCTACTGAATATGCAATGTTTAGTCTGCGTGTGATGTTGAAACAACCAATTGACTCAAAATGATTCGTAAACGGAGACTTCTGGCACACATAGATCTAACGTCGGCGATATCAATGAGGAAATATGATGATATTTGCCGCAAGACCACGTCATTAAATATTCATTCTTTGAAAACCAGATATTTTCATAGTTGTAAGCTGTATTGCTTGTTGAATTCCCTGAGTAATGTGTAAATTATCCGTATCTAAAACCGACAATTTCCTGTCTTCATCAAGGAAACTTATCCAGGCTATTTAACGCAACAATTGGTAAGGGTGTCCTTTGATTAATTGATTTATTCGAGGTGTGGATTGTGGAGAGTTTGGTAGGGCAGGTATGATACAGAAGCTACAAATGTTAGGTCAAACTTCTTCCAGGTCACATAGCAGTACTGAGAAGCCACCCACTAGGTATTACTTGATAAGCACGCATTGGAATAGTCAGGGGTCAAGTGTTAGACCAAAGTTGTGACTTCGTTTAACAACAAAGTAACATATTGTTTTGAACATTACATTTTAACACTAATCTTAGATAGAATAACGGCCTTAATTAGTACCCTTGGGGAAAGCTCATATCCTGATGCCTTCAATTAATCAATGAACACTTAATTAATGAGACTGAGATCTTCCCCTCCGCCCTCCCCCCCACCCCCACCCTCATAGGATGATCATCAATGGACANCCCCCCCCCCCCCCCCCCCCCCCCCACCCTCATAGGATGATCATCAATGGACATCAAGCCGCATGAGAGGAATCTTAGCACTGCTTGCTTTACCAACATGACGTCATTTAATGTTGAATACGATTAGATGATAAACCAACTCCACCTTCATTGTGTTCATTGTATTAAAAAAACACTTTGGTGAATGCAATTAAACTTTTCAGCTTATTTACTACCGGCTTTGTAGTAAATTAGGCGAGTTAGGCTACCTTCAAAGCGTTATATTAATCAGTGTGTTGCTAGACGTTTTCTTAGGATGAGCTTCTATGGCTATAGTATGTGGGATACGTTATCGAGCGTTGTGCGTCATCGTATGCCTGCATGTCTGCTCGCCAGGATTGGGAGGTGCGCCGTACAACTCTGTGCAGCGACCGTACTAACAGTGACCAATCATCAACCTCTGTTTAACCTAATGCCCCATCCTGTTCATGAGTAGCTCCCTGTGTGATACACTTTATCCATAATATACTCGCTGAATAAACGTGCTCCGTGCTACACGTCTGTTTCCTTTATAGGTGGGCTATAGCTTAGCTAGTTCTGGGAGTCTAGCTAGATGTTTGAGAATCTGCCATAGAGATTTCTGAGTTAGTTAGGCTTTAATAAAGTAGCAATCCGCTACAGTGTTTACTTCCGCCACTTCAAATTCCATACCACGTTAATATTTAAGATGATAACAACATACTTATCAACGATAGAAAGACTACTCTAATTTAACCGATAAATGATGAACAAACACATTTGAAGTAAAATTTAAGTTATAAGTGCTAATAATTTTTCCATCTTTCCAATTTCCATTTTTACAGGGTCGGGTTTCTCCAGTCCCCTTTTCTCCTGAATAAAAAATGAAAGTAGAATTTAGGTGAGCAAAAAATTTCAAAACAATAATGGATATTTGTTAACTTGCCCTTGGCTTCTTTCTAAGATTTGGAGAAAGCTTCAGAGATATGACTTGACCTCTAAAAAAGCACATAAATTAGCATACAGATATAATGTTACATATAAATTTAAAAACTCCTGCACCTGAGTTGCTTGAATGTATAATATTTTTTCAGATTATTTATAATTAATCCGCGTGATGAATTTATAATTAGTCCAACACCACATATAAGGTCCTAATGCGCGTTATTTTAAAATGAATTAATTCGTCCCGGGCTCCCAACGATTTTTGCGCCAGATCATTTTAAAGAGATTTTCTATTTGGCCAGATAAGTGTTTCGAGACCACGCGATATATATAGCAATAGAAATTCTTCGCGTCCTAGTTGGGAGACGTGGTAATTTATTGGGGAAAGTCACATGTCACTCTGATTAGAGGCTCACATCTTATTATTAAATTGGTCACCCTATTGACATTACTGCATGTGTTCAGCAATGACTTTCAGCCTTGTAATTTCTAACCTTGAGGTCGCCATGGTGACCATTGGGTCGCTGGACAAAATCGCAAGCTGAACATCTTTTAAAACTGATGAATAGAAGAGACCACAGTTAGCGTTTAGCATGGCACCAGCAGCTATCCTTCATTTCATATTGCACGGTGACTTCACTCCGATTTTATCAGTTCATTATAAACACCACTTAGCAACACCGATAAATTAAAAAGTAAATAGGTCTGAACCAACCTATCGCCTCCGCAGATAATAACCGGACGCACAGGATTGAAGGCCACTTGAGTCAATTTGGAGTTTTTCTTTTTCACAATCAATTGGTGACAGAGGGGAGCGTATTTATTTACATTAAGATCATAGATATGGGCGTGCCCATCATTCGTAACTGCGGCAAATACTGTGGACGAGTAGGGTGCCCATGCAACGTCTCCAACCGGGGATCCAAGGTCAAAGATGAACAAGGGGTCTCTAGTAACAAGAAAAATTTTTTCCCCAAAAATTTTTGATAAGTTTGTTAAAAATAAAATGCTTATTAAGTTAGAAAAAAAGTATTTACACAACGGAAAGATTCTTATAAGACATTATACATAACTGAATGCAACGTTTTAATAGTGTAACATAATCTTGTGGTATTTCAAAATTTGTGCTATGAAAATGTCGTATTTGCTATTAACCATTGAAACGTTGTTGACATCCTATAAATAGCTATTTTAATCATGCAATTTGTTTCAATTTTTGAAGGCTCACTCATTAAATGAGGTATAATTAGATGAAACGTTTTAAATTTTTATTCCTATTCTATTATTTGTCAATAAATATTGTCAACGGATTCAATTTTTTTAAATTCTGTTTTTAAGTCAGATTGGCAGTCTTATAACTACTGAGCAAACTAATTATGCAAATGACCTTTACTAATTTAGATATCATACTTTCATAATATCCATATCAACCAATCGCACAACTATAAGTGTTGCCCAAACTCACTTCTTATCCTGATGCCAAATCTTGACAGTCCAGTCAGCAGAACAGGTGATAAAGATGTCTTCATGGAAGTAGTTCCAGCTGAGTTTGTAAACGGCCATACTGTGTGCCCTGAAGGTGGACAGATAATCTGGGCCATAGATTCGACTACACTTATGCACCAGCCCATCTTCTGTTGCTATAAGGAAGATTTCCGTATTCTTTCTGTGGAACGCCAGAGCAGTTCCACTTTCTAAAATATTGACAAAAACTTTGTTTTTAAAATAACAGCAAGGTATATCCAAGAGGACTTGGGTTGAAGTCGAAATAATTTAAAGTAGTATAAACAAATACAAACTGAAAAGATTAGATATTTATATTGTTAGACTTTGAGGTAATTTAGATCAATTTTAAGCAATGGTAATAATTTAACAAATGAGAAAATATATTTCCTTCATGAACGCTGAATAAATTTTAGCTAAGCACAAATCGAAACGAACATATTTTTTTAAAACTACACACTACAAGTTTAGGCATTCGAGAACTGTTAAAGTGGAACTTAAAGTTTTTGCGTTCCTAGGTTAAATGAGCTTCGCTGAAAAAATAATATAGGTAAGAGATAAGCGATTGGTACTAGAATACAACAGATGAATGTCCAGTTAATAAAAGTAACACCACTGAAAAAAACTGATCCTTCGAAATCACTACAAACTACGAGTGCATGAATTCATACTTACCAAAAGACATTTCTACCAAAGCCAAGATTTCATATATATATATATATATATATATATATATACGTCTATTGAGCCCAATTTCTTGATATACTAAGTTGGCCAATAACAAAAGGTTGTCTATTTAAAACTGATTCATGTAAACTGAATCAAGCAAAAAAGTAATGGCATTGAGTACTTCGTTTAGGACAAATTCATATCAAACAACTTCATCCTAAGCATTTATAACAATGTTTAATTAAATGCAACTAATAGATTGCCTGTCCTTCAAAGGCCTGTGATGTAGCTGCATAACGCAAGATGTGGTTTTTATAGGATGACTAAAATATACGTATCTGCAAATTACGTAATTAATAATGGACAGAAACACGTTAAGCTGTCGGCACTTGATGAGGAAAGGGAACTGTGAATTCGAGTACGGAGATAGGTATCGATGATTGCAGAAATACATGCGCGGGTGGGTACAAAGACTTTGGAGTTCTAAACAAATTAAGAAACTCAAAAAGGATGTGTGTATTGTGCCAATCCGGGATATTAAATTTTCATCATTGTACACTCAATGATATGGATAGCAAACTAAAAGGGTTAGTTTTAGCCAACAGGAACTAAATTTAAGTTTTCAAACATTTATCCAACTGTTCTGTCTTTTTTTTCAATAAAAATATGATTAATTAGTTATCTCTATTAAAATAAGGGGTTACTTCTCAATCAACTATATGCGCATTGTTCAATGTGATACCTTTCAAATTTGGCACACTGCTATTTTGCATTTGCAGAAATGAAATCAGGTTTACTAACCCATGTAATCATAGCAGCTTAGTTTCAATACATTTATTATGAAGTAACAATGCGTATGCAAATTACCGTTTAGTTATCGAAAAGCAGCAAAATTTCTTAAATCAATCGCGGATGATAATTAATAACACTATCGAAGAAAGAACTTTAGGCTGGTTATATCATTAATGCTAAAATCTCTTAGTAGGCATAAATAGAAGCTATTCTTTAAAAACCTGGACATATTAGTTGAGCACGAGGTGTATTCGAGCAAACCAAATCCAGTGGTTACCAAATCTAGCCACACTTGACACTAACGTCCCAAATCGTAAAGATTATAAGAATTAAAAATTATTCAACATTTTCTAATGCATTCAGATCCTACCATGTGAAAAAACTTCCACATTTCCAAGTTCTTCACTATTTTCCTTCGGTGTTTTCATTTGGAGAATGTCATAGCATACGATATCGTCCTAAATTTAGAAACACTAATAATTTATAAGAAAAAAAGATCGACCAAATACATTTCAAAACAGAGGATATATAATTTTGAAATTAAGAAACAAAGTAACAACAGAAAATCCATTCCATTTCATTGGAAATTTTCGAAAATTTGCCCGTTAATTTATAAAAAAACCAACTGTAATAAAGTTTAAATAGAGCAACTTTTCGTACGTACAGGGCATTCATGGAAGGCGCCAACGCCTGTCTTTAAATTATTATTATTTTTTCAAGAAGAAATATGATTTTTTGATTTTCAATTAAATTAATATTTCACTATAAGTTACCTTCACGATGTTCCAACTTGAAATCCGACCATCCGAACTGATGGAATAAAATTCCAAGTTGGGTTGGTCAACGGATTGAAGCCACTTAACTTGCCAAACAGGATCGGTATTTTTATTCGAATTCACAGTACTCAAGTATAGGGGACCTAATTTCTGTTGATTCAATTTATAAACTCCAACAGCGCCATCATAAAAGCCAACACATATTAAGAATGGATATTCAGGATGAATGTCTAAACAAAGAACTTCAGATTCCGTCCTGAAAATATACTCTGGGTAACTGGGGTTCTTCAGTGAATAAAAGCAGATCAATCCTCCACCATGTTTCACGAGATCTTCTAGAGAATATTTTACGAAATCACAATTATGGTAATTGTACCAGAACCAAGACCAACTGCAAAAAGGTCACTGTACTGTGGTGACCAACAAAGAGACGTAACAGTCATTTTCTTGGCTTTTTCATATGAGAACTTCCAGAGTGGAAGTAGAGTTCCCATTGAGTCCCTAAAATCATCGGCGAGATCCTCAAAGTAAGCAAAATCCTGTAAAACATCATCAAAGGTGTTCTGATTTATCATTCTTTCAATCGTTTTAAGAGGTTTAAGAAATCCCGAAAGGCCTTCAACCTATAAAATTGAAATAAACATTACGAATCGGCAAACTCACATTCGAGTCATTCAACTGCTGATTCATCTTATTTTTGTGAGATATCGTAGGCGTTTTTACTCCGGATGCATTCTATTGACTTCAAATCAACTTAATATTTAAGCAAACCTTGTTAGCTGCCACGTCTCGATAGAAATCATAGATACCCCACTGTGTTACGTTTCCAGAAAAAGTGTTTCTCGCAGGAGGCTCAGTTTGACAACCAAATTCCTAATAAGGTCTAATGGAAAAGAACGTACCATTACCTTTGGCACGCTGGTATATGTCTGACTTGAATGCTCGCAAAAGTTAAACTGGTTAACTAACTTCTTTCCCGTATCATCAAAGGTCTCTTTTCCCTAATTAGAGTTACCAAATAAAAGGTCTGCGTTTACTAAATTTTCACCTATTTCTTCATCTAGTGTGTCATCTTCTGAGCCTTTTTCCACCATATTTCCATCAATATCAAAATAAATGGCTAGTTGTTCAACTCGAGGGATTTGCCTATATTGATTTTCCTTTACTAATAGTTTATGACCAAATTTATATTACCATAAAATCGAATCGTACTATATTGTCTGGAGCTTGTGGATCAGTAGCTATAAGTTCTCGAGTAAGTTCCTCTTTTAATTCCTTAGAAATAATCACACTAATTAACAAATTACATCCTCAGTCAACTGAAGCTGATCATTTGGATGAAGTGGTGAATCATCCACTCTTTCGGAGTATGATTCATTGTTCTTTTCACTTTTCCGCTGAATTTTGACGGAAGTCTAGTTTTTATTAGTTAATAATATTGATTAACCTTTCTCCTATTCATAGTCGCCTTGTTATACCATTAATTATTGAAATTGTGCTCAGTACGTTTGTTGATATTAGATGACCCTAATAAAATGGCTTAAACAAAATGAATTATTTCAAAAATACAATTTTATGTTATTTCACTTTAAGCAACATGACTAAGATGTTCGATAATTTAAGAAATTATATATTTTTGAGTGGATTTTAGTCAATAATTAACACATTGTAAAATTGTTTCATTCATAAATAACTTAAAGAGGGAAACTTATAAAAGTATGCTGTGACATTAACGTTATTGACATAGTAAGAAATCATGAAAGCCACATTCTAACCTATGCCAATAAACATTTAACGGATAGCCCAAGTGAATTTTTGAAATTTGATGTTACACGTGGTTACTTATTGGTGTGAAGCAATCGCTGATTACGGTTGTGTTACTTGGATGGATTACTAGTGGTTCGAACAAATATTCAATATTTGGTATTTGTATGTTTTGTTAAAAAAAGATACTGAAGGTTTTGATAAACGTAAAGCGACCTAATGATAAAATGTTTGAGCAATGAAATCAGCCTCAACTTCGTTTCCATCATTTCTCAGAAGATTTATTGCAATCCGGAAGCACACCCGTAGGATGCATTATAGTCTTTATTAAAGTCTCTAACCAACTTATACAAAATTGAATACTCATTCACAAACGCAACACAATAATCCCATTTAAAATGGATAATATTTCTGAAAAATAAAGTGACTGTACTCATTTTACAAAAGAACAATCATTATCAGACTTCGTAACTTTCAAAAAAATTGTTGGAAACCAACATTGAATTAGACAATGTATTTGAATAACAATTTAAATTATTTCTAATTATATTCTTTATTGATGTTAATCCATGAACACCCTGAAGTGTTAATAAACAAGCATATTTCAAACTGATTCCACCGAATAATCTCGATTTAAATACTTAATTTAATTAATTTTTATTTTTAATCGCGATAGTATCTATTTGTGTACTTAATTGTCGATTTTTATAGGGCCAACTTTGTCTCTGTCTAAGGAGGTTCAATTTTCACAGTGGCAAATACAAAAGAACCAATCAGCCTTATACTGTGAGCACATGATTTGTACATGGGATTTTATTTTGTGACGTATTTCATCAATGCTTATTTGATAAGAATGTTATCTCATTCTCATATGCTTTCTTAACCGATATTTCCGCTTCATTTAGTCGGCACTTCCTGTTTTAACTCCTAATAGTTTTCTGTAATGTCATATTTTTGTTCTGAATACTTTTTACTTTTGATAGTTTTGTAAATTCTTATCAATTTATTGCACTCATTTTGGGTCTTTGTTTCATCTATGTGCGCCGATTGAGCCATTAGTTCATTTTTTCCTTTTGTCACTTTTACCAACGCGTACCTAAATGATTTAGAAATCATTGAAGTTTACTTTTGTTTGGCTTGTTTAAAGGGAAGTATTAGTAATCAATTTTATTTTCTATAAAACTGTGCTACTGTCTCTAGTTATCGAAAATGAGTTTTCTTGCAAGTCGTCGGGTCCTCTTCACTCAATTTAGGACCATTCGTCATAAACCGTGGATTCCGAAATTCCGTCTCATTCGTCAAATGCAACCTTGGGTTCAGCCCTTCGACCCTGATCTAATTTCCATCGGTGGTAAAAGTGGAGGTGAGCGGGCTACCGCGTCGGAAATTCGCGAGCATTTGCGCCGCAATGGTCTCATGCCGCCTCTTATCTTCCAAGACCGTCCTATTAATCTGACTCATTCCGGTACATATTATTTAAAAATTTGCCCTGCTTAAAGGCTTTTATAGGTAGATGATGCCTAATATGTGTTGGTCATTTCAGGTCGAATATTCGATGAGTATGTTCCTCCAGAAGGTGATGGTAAATCGTCTCTCCTTTCAACCGGGGTAACAACTTGAACCTTTTCTATTCACTCTAACTAAAACTTGCTAATTTTATGAGGAAATGAATGCGCTTCTAGGGGTACTTATTAGAGCCATGAGTTTGAGCTTTATTAAACATTTTCATAATTTAAGATTAGTTGTAAGTGCAATTTTTTGTGAATTTTTTTTTTCTCCTTTAACTAGACGGTGACATCGATGAAAGATGCAGCCTTAAAAAAGGCCAAAACAACCAGAGCTGCTTTTCGTATTAAAAAGCACAAGCCCACTTTTAGTACTGCTAATTTTCCTTCGGAAGCCGATTCTATCTACAAAGAAGTGCTTAGCCTTCTTCCCAAGTATGTTGTGTTCGATTCTTGCTCATTTGAAGTTATTAGTTAAGTTTTTATAATCGGTCCTTAGTCCTTGTCTTCTGCTCTTCTACTGTTTCTGATAAGTAGGTAACTAGTTTAAAGTCGCCGATATTTGTCTGTGGCTTCGACGTCATTATTGTCTTGCATAAAATGCTGGGAAATCATAGTTTATGGGTGAATTGAATGCATTTGAGCTATTGATCAGAAAATTGATTCTATTCACTTCTGTTCAACCATCTTTAAGTGTTCATAAAGGAGATCCGAGTTCTTTGAATGAAGGGCTCTCCATAAGTCAATTGGCTTCATGGAACCTATTTAATGTGACTAGGCGGTACCACTATGTCACCCCTACACAAGTGTTTGTAGTTATTAAAATCAAACCATTAGCCAATACGAGATTTAATAAGGCGCATTAGTGCCATAGAAAAATATCTACTTAATAATTGTGTCAAGAATTTAATCACGAAGATTTGCCAAATCAACACCTTTAAGAAATATTATTAATGCATTGAAGAATAAAGGAAGGGGAGTTATATGACTATATTGTATCTAAATTGTCAGAAAAGTTGCACTATGTCACTAATTCCAGTTTTTTCATCCATCTACCATCTTAAGGTTTTATGACAACGAGGAACGATTGCTTGAGCTCACCACAGAAAAGGCTTTTGCGGTAAGTATCCCATACACCTTATCGTTTTTTTGTCTCGTATTCTTTCCCTCTTTCATCCTTGAATTCTATTAACTAATTGGTCTGTTTTCTGATCCCCCAACCCCCTTTTATCTTGTCTTTCAGTTGGTTTCCAAAATTTAACACTTCAATTTGCTTCAAAATTTCTCCCTGTAATGTTTGTTTGGACCTATTTCTTCAAAAAATATTACTCGCGCTTCCTAGGACAAATGTAAAGGAAGTTGCTTGACTTCGGATTGCCTGCTAGTTACATTTTTTAAGGCCTTCTGACACCCCCTTCTAGGGCTACTTGAAGAAGGAGATGCATGCAATGTGATGGGCTCTGCAATCGCACAAATTGCTAAAAATCTAGGAATGGAGCCGGGAGTAGTTGTTTTAGACACCAACAAAAAAAACGATGATGAGGTGGTGGTGGGGGGGGGGGGGGGGGGGGGGGAGGAGGGAATGGACAGGAGGTTTGACTGGCTGCCTACTAAGTTTTGTTCATTTTAAAAGACAAACCGGCAGTCTGCATATTTTGGAAGTTACGACAAGCAATTGATTTCATTTTTTTATGAGTCTTCTTTAACTCAAATATTTTCTTAAAATTTGATGGAAATCGGGATGACTTCTATTGGTTTTCGAGTATGTCTCTCGCGCCTTTCTCTTACAGAAATGCTTCAACAAAACGGAGGGGGGGGGGAGACTTAACTTTATTTCATTTAATTTCTAACGGTATTAATATTTACCAAATGGCCAGTTTACATTTCAAAATTCAGATTTAACGATGCATCAATTGGATTACAACAAATGCTTCCGTGCGGTATCAAATGCCAATTTTATTGATCTTATTTAGTCAAGAAGGCTGGTCATTCTCTTGTTGCTATAGTTAATTTACTTTCCAATGGTTGGGAAGACAAATTATCCTATACGTCAATTAACAGTGCCAAGACGGCTTAGAGTTATCATAGCTCTATAATCCATGCTAATTCAAGTAAATTAATGCGGTGAATTAATTTTTTTAATAGAAATCTAAACTCCCTTAAGCTACTACGGATAAGAACTATATCTATAGATACATCAATGGCTTATTAAGGGTTATTTTTTGTAATAATCGAAATTGGAAGGGACATGCTTCTACTTTGTTGGCTTTTTCTTGGGCATTCTGCTTGTTGAGCATTTTACATATGATTAGGCTTAAGAATTGATCTCGGCTGGTTTATCTGACTTTACTTGGGGCATGGCTGACCCCCATAATTTTGCATCGTTTGAAAGTTTGAATGACCCATTATTTCCTGCTTATCTTACTACATGCTGAAATAGCTACGAGTAATCGGTTGTGACACCGATCATTCCTGCTGTTTTTAGGAGATGACAGATGGCTTGAAACTGCGAACTCTTCGTTGGAACTTCGTGGGTAGCTTAGAGCCACCTCGAATTGTCAGCTGTCGGACTGAGGAGGCTTTAGGCAAGGGTAATATGTTCGGACAGGTCACTGTCAGATTCCATACTCAACAAGTGAGTCCTTTTCTGTCTTATTTCAAAATATTCATTTATTTTATTAGCCTAACGAATGCGTGGTTTTCCGTCTCTCAAAAAGCAGTTTGCCAATTATCTATTAAATGATGTGTTGAATGGTTCTTTTATGTCCTCCACAACAATTTCATTTTGTTTGTTTGTCAGGTGGACAGCAATTTCGGGGATAGTTGCCGAAAAAGGGCGCGTATTTGCCAATTTAGGGGAAATATCATATACAACAGCGATCAAAATTCTAGTCTGGAGTAGCAGAGGAGGGGGGGGGGG